CCAGCAGGAGCTGTGATGCTGGGACCAGGTCCTTGCTGCTGTCACCAGACCATCTGCTCTGCTGCTCCTCACCATGTCGTCTGACTGTAATGAACCTGAGAACCTCCAGACGTGAGATCTTGTTGAACCGTTGCAGATGTTCGACTGGATCAGCCACAACAAGGAGGTGTTCCTGCAGAGCCACACGGAGATTGGCCGCGGCTACCAGCACGCCGTGGAGCTGCAGACGCAGCACAACCACTTCGCCATGAACTCCATGGTAGGCACCGCCATCACTATCCCTTCCAAGCACCAAGAACCCTAACCCTAACCCCACCACCACCACCACTACCACTACCACTACCCCTAACCCCACCACCACCACCACTAACCTTAACCCAACCACCAGTAACCCTATCACCACCACCAGCAGTAACTCTAACCCCACCACTACTAACCCTTGCGCTAACCCTAACCCCACCAACACCAGCAACCCTATCCCCACCACCACCACTAACCCTATCACTATCACCACCACTAACTCTAACCCTAAACCCAACACCAGTTACCCTAACCCCCCACCGCCCAGACCCGTCCCCCACACTGACCTCCCGTTGCCCCTCCAGAACGCTTACGTCAACATCAACCGGATCATGTCGGTGGCCGGGCGGCTGGCCGAGGCCGGACACTACGCCTCGGCGCAGATCAAGCAGATCTCAGGCCAGCTGGATCAGGACTGGAAGAGCTTCGCCGCTGCACTGGACGAGCGCTCCACCATCCTGGCCATGTCGTCGGTGTTCCACCAGAAGGCTGAGCAGGTGGGGCGCACGGCGACGACAACATGATGACAAAGAGACGACAAAAACACCACAAAATTACAACAAAGAGACACAAAATGACCACATATAGACACAAAATGGCCGCAAAGAGAGTCGCAACAATCACAAGGCTGCAGAAAATGACTACAATAAGACTCAAGACAACCACAAAGAGACACAAAACAACCACAAAGAGACACAAAACAACCACAAAGAGACACAAAACAATCACAAAGACACACAAAACAACCACAAAAAGACACAAAACAACCACAAAAAGACACAAAACAACCACAACAGAGACATACAACGACTACAGAACGACAAAGCCAATGACTCATATGACTAATATCTGGGTTCCAGACAGAATCATATAATAATGAGCCCGTTGTTGTTGTTGTTGTTGTTGTTGTTGTGTTTGTCGGTCAGTTCCTGTCCGAGGTGGAGGCCTGGTGTAAGGTCTGCAGCGAGGGGGGGCTGCCCACGGAGATGCAGGAGCTGGAGATCGCCATCCACCGACACCAGAGTCTGTACGAGCAGGTGACCCAGGC